CGGGCAGGGAGCGTGACGTGACGGGGCATGACGGGACTTTCAGGATATTTATATATGTTTTGGACTGTATAAATATGATTTACGCTTCCGCTTATCTTTTGATGACGTGTGATGATGTTTTTGATATCTTTTGACGGACGCTTTTGAAAACTCATCACTTTGACGAACTTTTAAGAAAATAAAGTTTTCAGTAACCGGACGATTTTATTAAATTAAAACAACGGTTTTCTAAGTTAAGTCACGATTTTTCACGGTAGCACCCCGAATCAGTTTTCGCAAAGTAAAAAGGTTTTATTTTTAAATAACTTTGCGAATTTTGGCGCACTCTGATTTTACAGTAAGGTGGGGTGTTACAGATGACTTGCCTCCAACAATTAAAAACTCTAACATCAATTAACAATGAATGTGAAATCGAACTTTAAAATTGATTTAGAACATTTGAAGACTGGAAAGAGACGAATAAAATGAGGATGATTTATCGATTTCTGACAACTGGTTCATCATAAATCAGAAATATTTCGACGAAGAAGTTCGACATGTGTGCATAGGGATATCTGATTTTTTATCAAATGTGTTGTACAAAACCTTGCAAGACAAGTTTTCTAATTTGATAAGTCTTATAAAATCCAATGGTGGAAAAACTAGATATTTATCAATTTGTTTGACTGTTGATCAAAATTCAGCCGTTGAATTTTGATTAGTCTATCTCGTTACAAAACTTATCTTATAAGTTTTTCAATGATACTTCCCGATAAAAAAATTTATAACTTGATCATCGATAATTTTAAACCCAAGTTTTTCTTATGCACACGTGTTGCCTATCTTTTTCTTTGATGTATTACCAATGAATCAATTCTCCAGCACACCTAATTTTAGAAACCCTAATAAATCAATTTTAAAGTTCAATTCAAATCCTTGAGTTAAAAACTTCATGTCATGTTAAAATGTTTAATTATCGGAGCAAACTGGCATTTTTATGTACTTTGAAGTTAATTCGTCCAACTTTAAAACTTAATGAAAAAAGTATGGCTGATTGTTGAATGTAGAAGTCACGTATTCATGTAGGCTATGTTTGATAGACAAATAAGCTAGCTTATAACTTATTTGGTTAGCTTATAAGCTCTCTGTATTCAAGTAAACTTTTTGGATTGGAAAAGTCGAGCTTTTACGGATCGAACGTCATGTAAAACGAAGCAAGTGGCATGGAACGAGTGAATAAATTTAAAACTCACTTTTCAGACTGCCAATATTTGTTTTTCCCATGATTTTTACTTCAAACTCACTTTTAAGAAGACCTAATAAAAAAAAATTTTGTCCAATAAAACAGCATCAATGGCTTCACAATTGGAACCGTGTACCACAGTAGGCTCTTGCTTGCAGATCAATAATAATTCAAACAAATGAATATTTTTTTCCTCTTAGTAGTAAGGAGAACTTACAGCATCATAACAAACTGGAAAGTAGAAATATGGTACATAGCTTCAAGGATGAAGAGGCATATCTCCACCGCCAATAAAATACTCTTCATGATCCAAGCTTACGACACACACGCTACTTAGATATATATGCTCTCAGTCGATGAGAGTCAGGATCAAAATTTTTGATACAGCAGCAATTTTGTTCTGAATATCGCCAGGAGAAAGAAAAATAAAATTAAAGACGCACCGTTGTTATCCAACTGCGACAAGATTTCATGTTTTAGTACATAACCACACTTTCCACCACAATAAGTGGAAAGGAAGCAAAAGATGGTAAGGCTCTTACTTTCTTCATCTCTAGCCAAATGGGTTTCCACTGAAGCTACTAGAAGCAGAATGGGGCCCACGTAGTCCGCCCAGTTGGGGATTTTGATGGTTCAGAGATGAAAATGCCGACTCGTCAAGGGTGAAACCAGATTGTCCTTTTGGACTACAATTATCAAGGGTCAAAGAGGCAAATAAATAACTAATCATAAAAAAACAGTGCAATTTTTACAACATAAATGAATGTCAAAGAGTTGAGAAATTTTGGAAGATTATTATAAATTCTTTTTTCAATGACTTTCTTCTTTAACAAATAACAACGTTTGGCATTGTGTACCTTGGTGCCATGTTGCCGGCTATTCCTGCTCCAAAGAATGAACCTGCTATAGTGGCAAGATATTTTAAAATAAGTGGAATATAATATATAATATATACAACCAATATTGTAAAAACAGAATAACTGTGATCGTGTTTACTTGGAGGTGCTGATCCATATGCTGATGGTGTTTGAGCAAGCATCGAAGGAATATGAAGTTGAGAGGTTTCAAGTCTTGAAGTACGCGGAGGGCCAGATGGATTTCCAATTTGGGGTAAAGCACCTTGCAGTGATGCCACTGAAGGAAACTACAAATACAAGCACCTTATATTTTAGCCAAGTAATAAATCTGACGCCATCTTCAATTTTTACTACTGGAGTGCACAATCGGAATGATTAATTAATTCATAGGTTTGATTTGTTTGAGACACTTGCATACACTTCAAGATGTTCAAATTAACAATATTACTACTTAGAATACGTAATTCAAATTGGAAAATTCAACACGACACCTAATATACTTTCAGGTTGAATTCAGATAGAAAGATTTGGGGGAAGAATATCTATATAACTCCAAATAAAATAGATCGGAATACCTACAACAATGACTCAAAATAATACCTACAACCCATGTCAAACAAGCTTAATCCTAATCTTCTAGTCCTCCCATCCAAATGAAACCTCTTAAATGGAAGTCACAACTGTTAAATGTAAGTTATGGTGCTGCCATCATGGAATATCGTGCCATAAAAGTTTCACACCAACATGGTTCATTTTGGTGAAGGAAAGACAGTAATGACAATACCCCATTCTACAGTGTGGTTATTTTAGCGCGCACCCCAACCGTAGATTATGATACAGATGAGAGAATGGCAGGATATTAACTTAATAATATTTTATGCTGATTTTAAAATCTCAATTAGTGTTTAACCTTAAAGGTTTTCATTGATTTATTTCCTTAAAGCTATTATTTCCTTACCCCTTTTATTACCCATTGCCATTTTATATTAGCTATAGTTTAGTATAAAAGAGAGGGTTGTCAAAATGATATTTATGAAGAGATTTATTTTATAACGGCACCCACCACTTGCTATTGGACAAGTGTTTTGCCTTGGAGAAGTTATCATATTTGTTCATCACTATTGTAATATGATCAATAAAATGTATTTTTCTTCATCCTTTACTCCTTAAAATTGGTCCAACTTGCCTTACAAATGACAACCATGGAACCTCGAGCTGAAGCTATTATATAAGAGAAGGTTGTCAATAGGATAAGTATGAAGAGATTTATTTGTACTAGCATTGGCTATTGGGCAAGTTTCTTGCTGGGTTGGAGCAGTTCTATACTAGTTTCATACTTCTTGTTCATCCTTATTGTAATATCATCAATAAAATTGTGTATTTTCTCTTTCTTGAAGACTCCAAACAATTTATATGACAAATAAAATTTGACTACCAACATCCACCCTTTGATAACTTTATATAAATCAAAGTAGTAGAGTGATATTATAACATGAAAATAAGTGAAACGTAGCGCAGACAGCACTACAAATACATATAATTCGTGTCGTATTTCCTTCGTTTGGAACAACAAACTCAACATTATGAAGAAACATATCTCAAGTGCAAGCTATGCGGTCATGTAACAACCCGATATTTATTTTAACTAAAGGATGTCATTCTAGAAGAAAAAGTGCTTCAAAAAGAATATGCAAGAGAAATGACATAGAAGGAGCCATTCATGGTTAGGTCAGTCAACACATATCAATGCATGACTAATGTCACAACATTTTCCTATTTATAGGCACCTTTTGATATAGTAAAGCAAGTTCTGCATTTCATCTAAAGTGAAGAATTGCACTAATGCCCAGGCCCAATGTCAGTTCTACAACTTCAATCATCTCTATCCCCATAGAATATAGTCAATACAAGATATCATAAGAAATAACTATTTAGAAAACAGACACATCGTATCCATCAGTAACTAGCAAACAAATATTACGCCAGGTGCAGTAAATACACATTTTGACACATTGGTTTATATGAAGAAATGAAGAATGATCAAAAAGATTAAATCAATATATGGAAAAGGGCACATACAATTGATGCTTGAGCAGGAGATGGATCATTGCTGGCATCAAAAGGATTTATAGATCTTGACACTGATTGGAAACTCGGAATAGCCTGCAATTGTTAAAGCCAATATTTTACACAATTTATGAACACGGCTGACAAGATTAATAAGTTGAATGTTTGATCAAGAAAGCTAATAATCCCATGTGGGTAGAAGTATTAGAAGATCCACGGTAAAAAAGTCTTAAGACAAAATGCGATCGAATTTTTTATTATGTGAGTATCAAGCCACCCACCCACCATCTCTACAAGTCCTGACATTGTTTATAATAGATATTTAAGTCTCTGGACAACAAATCCATACTTCAACACCCTTGATTAAGAAAATGTGTTTACATTAAATGTGACAATCATCCCTCAAGATGCCATCACCCCCATGTAGCTTTAAGTCTATTTGATCTTGCTATACTTATCTTCATAAAAAGGTTTGTTCAAATACAAAAGTTTCTTAGTAATGATTATGAAATTTTTCTTTATAATATCTGTGTGTCAAATGGAATTTCATTTTTCATGGCACATCCAAATCAATCAAAAAAGTGTATCAGTGCAAAGTTTTTTCCTTTCTTTCATATGTTAAGACAAGCTCTACTCAACTAATTTCAATTTTCTCTACACTCCAGAACTTAGGGAGGTTACATTCTATCAATCCACTGAAGCAGAAATCAAATCAAAATAGTTGAGACATTCAATTAAGAACATAACTGAAAAATTTCAGAATATACCATACCACATGTGTGTTGTTGTACTGCATAGGAACCGGAGCAACATAAGGGGATCCAGAATACCAGCCTGCGGCCAGAGATGGACCATAAGAGTAATTCATTGCAAATAAATCCTCTGGCAATGCTTTTCTTCCACCAGATTTTGCATCCAATGATGACTTTGTTGTCAACCCAGTAGAGGTTTCATTGTTATCGAATGCTGCAGTTTGATCCACCTGCCCAATAGATGTGTCAGGTGGCGTATGCGAATTTGACACTAGCAGATTCCAAGGCTGTTAGAATTCCAGGGAAGAGATTACTTCCTCCAGAAATTTATGCATAGAAGGAAAGAATAATTATAGAGGGATGAATTACCTTATTGCTTGAAGGTCCTCCAATAACAGGAGTAACTATTTGAGAACTGAATTGGGTGACACCTCCAGGGGACACAAAATGTTGTTGAGGAATCATTGTGGGCCACTGTCCTCCAGTAGAAGCATCTGTAAGCAAGTTCCGTTCGAGGTTAGATGATTGTGCTTCAGGGCCAAGGGATGCAGCAGGAGCACCACCAGAGGGAAATGCAGACTGTGGAACAGCACTTCCAAAGGATGCCAAGAGAGTTGAAGAGCCTTGAGAAGAGCTAGACTGGATGGGAGGCAAGGTGCCCACAGGGGCTGAGAGGCCTGATTTGGGAGCTTCAGTTAACAACTCTGAAAGTACAGATTCCATAGAACTTGAGGGAACTGTTTTTCCAGCCTCCTGCACAGAATCAAAGTTTGCCCAGTCATTGCCACTAGATTTGTTCAATTGCACAGACAAAGCATCTGCAGCCACAGCTTCTTCAGTTTGTGGGACAGTAGGAAGGTCAGAAACAGCATCAAAATCAATAAATGAAGCCTCTAGTTTGATCTCAGATGGATTAGCATCTGAGGATGTCAAGCTACTGGAGGATGCAGTCCCCTGCAAAAAAGAATAGTCGAACATCAGCAATTCTGTAACAAGAATATAACAAGACAAAGCAGGCAGCTAATAACAGTCAGAATCATCACACGAGGTGATTGGAGGAGGTGGAAGGAAATTAAAGTAAAATGGCGTGATGAAACTGTATTGTGCAAAAATAGCAGATATTATTTCATCTTAGAGAAACAATATTCAGCAAGTTATCACCAAACAAAGATGGCGCTGCTCCTTAGTTATTATGAGAACCCAGAAACTATTTCAACTTTTCAAGAATATGATATGTTATGTCAAGCTAATAATGCCTTCATAGAATAAGGCAAAAGGCACAACTCTTTTATTTCACACCAGAGACAAGTCAATGAGCAAAACAAAATACACACAAAATTCAAGCATAAAAAGCAGTCTTGTAGGGGCATGTTTTACCAGTGAGTGCCTCAAACCATCAGTTGATCTTCCACCAAAGGATTTTGGTGGTTCAGTAACTCGTAGAGGAGATACATTATCTCCTAATATATCTCTCACAGGGCGGACTATTGGAGGGCTGGACATGTCCAAACCTCTTTCACTATCAGATGATCTAACTTCAAGCTTAGAGCGTCCATCGGAACTTCTGTCTTCAAACCTCCTTCCATTTCCAAATCTATCCTCTCGTCGCCAGTCATTAATAACTTCAGTACGGGCAGGACTTCTTTTGTGACTGCTATTTCTCCAGTTATCTTTGTCATTTGCTGGACTTTTCCCACCAACACTAGCTCCATAACGACGCTCGGAAGTATCGTACGGTGGACTTGGTGAACCACCCTGATGGGTATCTATCCTCCTATTTTCATAAAAATCGTCTGTTTCCCCCTGCAGAATGGCAAATGCAATTTAAAATGCATCATGAACAAGCTTCATGAATCACGGAAAAAATCTATGGTTAACTAAAGATGGGAATTATATAAAGGAACAGAGAACAAAATATACAAAAATGCTTTAAACAGCAATCATTAAAAAAAATGGAAAAAAAAAAAAAAATTAAAGTTTTACATCATAAGGACCCCCATTTATACCATCTTTGCCCTCAAAGGTTTTTCCAAGTTCCTCTCACCAGTATATCTCCTATCTACATATACATGCCTGATGAAATCACGCAGTCTTTCTATATTACTGCAAGCAACATATCAGAAAATAGACAAGTTAGATGAAATTACAACAATAAAGTTCAAGCTAGAAAACCAAAATAGAACAGCATAACAAGATATCTTTTATTACCTGCAATTGGGGAGAGAATTACGCTGGGGATCCCATTCCTTCAGATAAATTTCTCTAGCACGCTATTGTGGAAAAATTAATCACATTTAGTAACACGATCGGAGGGCACTTGTATTGGTAAATTAACATGTACATCACCAGTGAAGGAGAATAGTTGTTCGTACCGCATTTCCCCCTTCTTGAAGGGCACTGACTTCTTGAGGTGTAAATTTAGCCATAGATACTGACTTAACTCTGTGCGTGAACTCTCGACTGCAAATAGTTGGAGAAACATAATAAGTACATGCTGTTTGCAATGAAAGAGGATTATAAAAAGCTTTGTTACTTTCAAAGTCCTCAAAAGTTTGTCCAAACTCCAAAGTAAATTCGAATAACCCAAACTGAAAGTCCTTATTACTCACTGTATTCCACTGCAGTTTGTGCAGACAAATGTGGAGAAGTTAGTGCACACATATTGAGGCCCCTGATTAGAAGGAAGAACAACCAATGCAATCAGTTTAAAAACAAAGGCATAAAAGAAAGCTCCAACACAAAAAGTCAGCCAGGTGACTAAGAAATTGATTTTCATCTAACATCAATTAACATTATTGAAAAATGGATTTTCCACCCAAATTTTTTTTTCTCTAGAGAAATATTTTTTTCCAAATTAAATCATATCAAATTGCATCCTATGATTCAAAGTTGGTTTTAACCTTCATCGATGTTCTAAAATCACTAGACGGGGGCCAAGGCGGGGTCATCAAAATATTAGTAAATTTATTTATATTTATCATCATATATAATTCACGAGACATTGTATAAAATACAACAACTAGTATGGTTAAATACAAAGATTGTCCAAAATATAATATACTCATAACTAGTGAATTAATGTATCATGATTGTAATTTTTCTATATAATAATTTATGTATATTCCATGTGTAAAAACCAAAACCTATTTCATTATATTTTGAAAAGAAAATTATAAAATGTTAAAAAAATGCAGACGCCTTGACCATTTTCTCAGACTAACTATCACACCCGTCTGCCCGCCAAAATGGCGCCTAACTGCCCAAGCGCCTAGAAGGCCCGCCTAGGCGAAAATCAAGAAGCTTCCTAAGACAATAACCAGAATTATTCACGTATAGGTTCATTTATATAGTTTCTTTTTAAAGAACGGCAGAATAGATACAGCAAGGCATCAACATAAATCTCATTTCACTCCAGAAATTTAGTGATGTCCCATTTTGTCAAAGCATGATCCATTACCACCAAATAATGTAGGTATGGCTTGCGCAATGATCAATGCTTGGGTGATCAAAGAATACTCACACACTGCAAATTTATGAGATCAATACTCAAAAGGGCCTTGAAAACAACTAACTTAAAATTGCAATGAAGACTAAACTTCGAGGTTTCCGTCCCTACAGAAACTCTGCGCAATTATCTTGGCTACAAGGCTATAAACCAGATAGGCCGGTCTTATAGAAGTGACCCAGATATCTTTAAGAGAGAGAGAGAGAGAGAATTCGAATCCATTGAAAAAAAAATACAGAAACCAAACACAGTTGATCTTACCAAGCTGTTGCAGTTGATGCACCTGCGATTCTCGGGAAGCTTGAGAAGATTCCTTATAATTCTCTCATTCTTCTCATCCTCCTTCAGTCGATTCGCCATTAAACCCCCCACTCAGGTCTGCTTCACAACTCACTATACCTAGCAACCGAGCAAAAAGTACAAGCCTATAAATCGAGCAAATAGTACATACGCGAATCCAAGTTTATATGAGCAAATTAGAGAAAATCTTACTGCCAGAGGACCAGATCTTGCAAAGGCACACGAGTTTTTGACTTGCCTGCACAGAAGAACTTGAGACCACAAAACGTTCTTGATCAGGTAACTGAGAGTTCAACTGAAGCAGTGGAAATTGAAGGAGCAGCAGATCGGCAAATGATAATGCCTGAAGTCGAATCTCAGGTTTAGCTTACGTAGTACAACTCAATTTTATTTTATGTACGAAATAAAATACTGGAAAATGAAAGAAACAGGCAAACAGACAGCCCTTGCGTCTCTGTTGAAACCGTAAGAAAATGAATAGAAAAGGAGAAAGGGGGTGTATTCAATTGAATTCTTGTTTGTTGTAAATAAATCCGATTAAAATGATTTTTTTTTTTTTAGATAATGATGGTTAATTTTATAAAAAAAAAAAATGTGGTATAGTTAGTATTAGTTGGATTTTAAGTTTATATTAAAATAAAATAATTAAAATTAATTTATTGTAAAAGTATGAGAAAGATGGTGTGAATTGATAATTAGTTAACATTAGGTGAGTGGATATATCTCCTTATATATAGTTCTCGAATGTGTCGAACCTAATTGGCAGGCTCGCATGCTCTAGGTGTCAAAATTTTATATTTCATTATTTGGCTTGGACATACTTCAATTGAATTCCAGTCCAAAAATAATTAGATCCATATTATCATAAATATGCAGATTATTTATGATCATTTTAGATGTATTAATTGAATTTTAATATCATTTCATATTATAAGCATTAAATTGCAAATTAATTTTGAACTTTGATAACTTTTGTATTTCTTATCGGTTTTACATATATAATATATCAAATTAATTATCTTTTGATGAGCTCCGACTTGACATCCATATTGTGACAAGATTCAAGTGTGGAAAGAGTATCTATGTTATTCATTAAATACCACTGCCCACTAGATTGGTTAACTGAATGTTGAACTGGGGACTCCAACATGTAATGTACCATGATTATTTGGTATTAATTTTATATGGAAGTTATATATGCTTCAGTGACACACACGTTTCTTTGCAAATGTCCTGCTTGCTGATAACAAGCTTCTTCTCTTATTTACTAATAATATTATGATACAGGAGTACTTTATGTTCGGCTATATAATTTTTCTCTCACTTTGTGTCAAACCATCCTTACACATCTTTGTCACTCACAGCTCCCTGTTAGTGGAAAAACAATCTGAGTTCGAGCTATTTCACTTTCTGAATTTCTACATGGCTAAGTTTCCATAAGTTTCTCTTTTAACATTGTAGTTCACTTTTAATGTCACTTTAATGTACATGGTTATTCTCTCTTTCTGGGTTCAGTATTTTTCATGGCTAGCTACATCATCTCAATTTCATGTTTGTCCTTTTGTTTAAGAAACTACATGGATTAGATATTTGTTTCCTTTTCATTTAGAATAGGAAAATGTAAATGAACTTCACATTACAAGTTTGTTATCTGTGAAATAGACCCACATCCCCTGTTTTGTTTACTTCTAATCTTTACTAATGTCAGTAAGCTTCAACTGGCAGATAAGCCTTTTGTGCATTATATCCCTTCATTCGTGTGCATAGATGTTAGTTTCTGTCTGAAATTTGCCTTTAATATTGGATATGATTAAGAATCTAACTTCTGTGCCTCATTACAAGCGTGAATCTTTAAGCCTCAGATTCACTTTTATCTATAGTTTTGTGCTTCATTTTAAACATAAATCTCAAGTTTCAATCCCAGAATGCAACTTATTAACCCATTTCTGTTTGTTCCATTTGTATTTTGTATATACTTACAAAAATTAATTTTTTTAACTTTTTTTATTCAAATTATTTTTTCATTCACCCGTGTAGTACACGGGTGTCGTACTAGTATCTCCTTATATATAGTTCTCGAATGTGTCGAACCTAATTGGCAGGCTCGCATGCTCTAGGTGTCAAAATTTCATGTTTCATTATTTGGCTTGGACATACTTCAATTGAATTCCAGTCCAAAAATAATTAGATTTATATTATCATAAATATGCAGATTATTTATGATCATTTTAGATGTATTAATTGAATTTTAATATCATTTCATATTATAAGCATTAAATTGCAAATTAATTTTGAACTTTGATAACTTTTGTATTTCTTATCGGTTTTACATATATAATATATCAAATTAATTATCTTTTGATGAGCTCCGACTTGACATCCATATTGTATGTATAAAGAAATAAATTATATTTATTTTATAATAATAGTAAAATTATTTACAAATATCAATTAAAAAATAAAATTATTTTTCAATTAAAATATTTATGTTTAAAGTAGTCACATGTTAGAAAAATTATTATAATATTTTTTTTATATATATAAACATCCCAAAGTGGGATTGGGGGGTTGAGACTACACCCCCGACCTGTGAATATAATGGCCCAGATGGGTCTAAAAAAGTCAATGGTCTATATCAAAATCGAAAATACATAGGGCAACATCAAAAATAGAAAAATCAAAAAGTACAGGATCACAAAAATATCCGATGTGGATCTAAAATCAAATCTTCATAAAAGGTCATCCTGGTCAGAGTGACCTGGCATGGGGTCCAAACCGTCAAATCTGGTCAGGAGCAGGTGGTGGCGGTCGACCGAATCTGAAGGATCGGTACTCTAGCTGGTCCATCTGAATGAGCGTCCGAAGCCGAAGGGGAATGTCCTCAGGAAGAAGGGTGCGTCTCTGGGGTATAGATGCCCCTGTGCTAGCAAGGAAATCAGTAGGTCGATTCTCCTTCCGCAATATGTGTGAGACCTGGTAATGGATCGAGCGGAGGGTGTCTCTGATGCGCATAAGAGGATGTTGGATCTGCCATGAGCCCTGGTGGCCAGATGTCAAAAGTGTGATGACAGCAGCAACATCCATCTTTATCCAGATATGAGAGGGGATCGAGGCGGCAATCTCAAGACCAATCTGGAGCACCTGAATCTCTGCATCATAACTCGAGGAAGCCCGGAGTGGCCCATGGAAGGCAGAGATGAGTGCCCCACCATGATCCCTGATCAGGCCCCCTCCTCCAGCAGCTCCGGTATGTCTGTCGAAAGCGCCATTAGTGTTTAGCTTAACCCAAGGGGCCTTGGGTTTCAGCCAAATAACGGTCCTGGGTCGTGGATGCTGGACATGTAAAGGAGGTGGTGGCCTCAAACGATGGGGCGGTGTACACCCTGTCCAGTGTCTCGTCGTAAGTCTACCCAGAGCGGTGAGGAGAGAGAGAGAGAGATGTCTGTCAACATGCAAAATAATGTGAGCACAAGAAAATATAATATCCCTATGCTTCGCATTATTCCTTTATGTCCAGGTGGCCTATAGGATCAGACAAATAAGGAAGCCCACGTGTCTACTGTGTGTGCGGTGTGAGAAAAAAAACTCAGAAGCTCAAAAAATTGTCTGTAGTGGGTAGGGGTATATGAGTATATATGGCATAGTGCTCTCACACTCTCCTCACAGTCTCACTCTCAAGGAAAAGATGGGTGAAAGTCTCGATCTCAAAGGTACCAGTCTCAGCACAACAAAAGCAGCGGGACGGGAAGGAGAACCCTCTCGCCTGCATCACAGTGTCAATGTGAATGCGCCGTAGAAAGAGGCGCCACAAAAAGACGGAAATGGTCGGGGTGAGAAGGTCGGTCCATATGGCCCCGAAGAGGCGGTTTGGCCGGTTGCCCAGCCTCATATCTTCCCAGGCTGATGACGTAGAGAATGCACCCGAAGATGTAAGTCTCCACCTCATGCCATCCAAACCTCCCTCCAGAATGGGAATATGTCGGATATGGTCAATCTCTAGACTACTAAAACCCCCACCTAGTGCTGTTAAATTAAACGAGCCTGGCTCGGCTCGGCTCGAGCTCGGCTCGTTAAGGCTCGGTTCGGCTCAAGCTCGAAGCTTTAACGAGCCGAGCTCGAGCTCATTTAAAGCTCGTTTGGTTAACGAGCCGAGCTCGGCTCGGCTCGATAAGACTCGTTAAGGCTCGAAAAGTGAAATTTATATAATTTTTTATAGTTCGGCTCGTTAAAGCTCGAGATCGGCTCGTTAAGGCTCGAGCTCGAGGCCTTAACGAGCCGAGCTCGAGCTTGATTTTTTGCTCGTTTACTTAACGAGCCGAGCTCGGCTCGGCTCGTTAAGAGCTCGAGCTCGAGCTCAAACACCTTAAGCTCGAGCTCGGCTCGGCTCGATTACAGCCCTACCCCCACCCTAACCAAGAATATCCTCCATCTTATCTCTATCCCAAAATCCCCCTGTCCAAAGGTCCTTCACCTGCATGAAAGGCAGGTGAGTGACTGGCCTAGTGCTCGAGAGAGGGGCCTCGCCGAACCACCACTCATCTCAGAAGCTAACCTCCCCAAAACCCAAGGTCCAAAAAATGTGCTTCTGAGCACGCCTGCCAACAATGGTGAGCCATCTCCACTGTCGACTATCCCGAGCGGTGGCTGTCACCCTGCAAGGATGGGCATCACCACTAGGACAATATTTCCTCAGGAGGTATTGGGCCTAAAGGGACTTGCCCTCCCTAAGGCGCCACCACATCCTTACACCTGCCCTCCTCGGAGCGAGTGATGGTCCCGCTCTGTTTGTCCGGAAAGGACTCCAAGTCAGTTTATGGTGGCCCGGTTTGGAGGTGGATGTGCCCGAGACCGCATCTCGAAAGGAAAGTGCTCTAGAAGGCCGTGGGCCCTGGTTCGCAGTTGGGGCTGAGTGGTTTCCGGTGGCGCGGCGGTTGCCAGGGAAGGTCCGTGGCCTTGTATCCCGGGCGCAGTCGAGGTGGATGGGTCCTTGCCGGAGGTGTTCAAAAGCCCGAGCTTTGTAGTGGCTTGAGCGGGCTGGGCGGTGTCAGCACGGTGACGGT